CAGCATCCCGAGCTGATGCAGCTGCTGATTTCCTCATGGAATGCCAAGGGCACTCTCCACTGTGAAACACTTTTAAGGTATTTCTTTGAAAAGCTCCTGGACCTCCAGGTTTCCTGGCAAACCTTTGATGCATGACTGAAGGCCTCAGAATAATTTTTCCTCCAGCAAAATGCAGTCTTCCCATTAAAAAAGGCTACACTGAAGTATTTTCCTTTAAATATCCTTTATATTACAACACTAATGTCCATAACTGATAGACTTGATTTTCTTCTGTAGATAGACACTACTTATTTTTTACAGACGTGTACATCAGAAAGATTTTGAGAAAACTGTCAATAAGTTTTTCTAACAAGAATTTGTATGATTTCACATTTTTAGCACAGCAGATGTAGTTCTGAATATGAAACAAAGTGGACTGAAATTTCATCTGCACACTTGAATCTATACCCTTTAAAATGTCTTCACTATCTTACCTGGGTTTTCACAAACAGAATTTGCATTGTTTACAGCAATATCTATCCCAGCAAACTACCAAACCCTTTGGAGAACAGCATGATGGCACCTTTAAACTTTTCCAAAGTCCCAGGCACACCCATGCTGCAGGCTGAGGAAACCTTCTCCTGTAGTTTTATATAAAACCAGAAAGAACAGAAATAGTAATGGGGGAAAAGTTTATGTCACAAAGTTTTCATTTTAACATGACATTTCTTTATGACCTCAGCATAGTTCAATCCAAAGATATTGCCACATTCAAGGACGCATCTCGTATTTACAAATCCTAAATCAAGAACAATTTGATGACAACAACTGTATGTATTTAAGAAGTTCATCATTTCCAAAAGAGACATTAATTGTCCATCTCATGTAAGCAGGTGCAGATACAAAGTAGCTTTGCACGATTCTGTCACTGAAAGGAAAGAAGGTTCTGGGGTTTTTTTTGTCACAGAAAGAAATAAAAACAAATCTAAAACTTCAAGTGTACACAGTTACTCAGATTTGTGGAAGGAATCATGCCTATAAAAGTAGCTTTGGTTTTCCTTTTCTCTTCCAGAAAAGCCTATATTCCTTCAGGGACTTGAAGGAAATATTTGCCATTAACCATTTAAAGTGCTGGTCACTTGTTAGGGAAGAGCAAATTGAAACAGGCAAGACCATTGTCTGAAAAGACACTGCACAGCAGATGCTACTTTAAATGCACACCCATTAGCAACCCTCAATAAAAGAATTTTTTTTTCCTAAATAAAAGAAAAATTTAGCTCAGTATAATCTGGCAACTCAGGAAAAAGAGAAAAAAATTAAAAATCCTATGTCTAAACAGAGAAAGTCAAACTTCAGCAGATCATTTTTATAAACTTGCCCATGTCACTTAAAACCTGTCCATCCAAAGCCAATATTCTAGCAGAGAAATACATTGAATTATTTCAATGCTGGAACACTCTCCAGCACCAACCCTCCCACAGCAAAGAAATTCTGCAGCCGAAGCTTCACGAAGGCTCCATCTGCCAAAACCACCGTGTGCTTTTAATTAAGAACATCCACAGCAATGCACTGGGAAGAACACACAAAGGTTCAGGGAGCAGCAAGAAGGGCAGCACCCTGGTCATGCCTCCCCTCACCTCCCCAAAGGCAGATCCCACAGAAAGCCCTTACTCACTGCAGGTACCTGTGCAGAGCATGAGTCCCACACTGAACCAATGACCAAAGCCAAGGAAATGCTTTCAGCATCCAAAATACACAAATATTTCCAGGCTGATGTCATCAAATACATCACTCAGTACTTCAACTCTACCTTATCTCTTTTTTACTATTATTTAAGTACTACATGTTAGATGCTGCGTTTATTTTCCTGAATAAAACTGCAAATCTAACCATTAGTTGCAGCCAGTCATCACCTTGGCTCTGTTCTGGCACACAGGGATGGAAATTCATAAAACTCATGCAAGATTTAGCTCTCAAAAATGTCAAACCAAGTTTTGAAGTAAGTAAAAACTTGTTATTTACTCTTCTGAAATTTTGCTTTAGTGGCTTTATAAACATTTAATATGCAATAAGTGGCTTGTTCTAAATTTTTTTTTTGTATTGAAACCTTGTGGATTGACACCCTTCATAAAGTCTCCTTTCACCTAACTTCAGAATTTATCCTTCTATTCTTCTTCCCTGCAATTTGGGAAGAAGAATAGAAGGATTCTATTCTTCTGCCACTGATTTACAACCCAGTATCAGTTCTTTGCAAAACTGAAGTACCTCAAGAAGATGAAGATCAAAAGTCTGTATGTTTGATGAAGATCAAAAGTTGTAGTGCCTTGTAGGTGTAGGACAGTAAACTCTTCTTTCCCAAAGAAAATCATGCACATATGTGTGAAAACTCTACTAATGAATTATTTATGTTTAAAGATAGAATCCTGTGATTATTTCCAGGCTGCACTAGTGCTAAGTGCTCCAAATGGTGCCTTCTCTGATCATTTCAGTTGGAATAAGCTCAAAAGAAACAAGTAATGGGTTCCTTGCAGCTAGTCATGTAAGGCTACCATTATGTGCATAAATCAGCTTCCAACTCTGCTCTTTCTGCCTTTTTCAGTAGAAAGACCAAAAATAAGACTAAATGGGGTGTTTTTTAAGGCAGGAAGTACAAGCCTCACATTTCTTATGCTGTTTTCCCAATGAGCAATACTGATTCAGTCCCATTAATAGCATTGCACACTGCTAGGACTGGATCCTTGTTGGCAAGTCAGGCTCCAACACCACAAGGTCCAAAAAGAGCTCCTGAATTACATTAGTGAAAAATCTCCTAAGGAGTTTCCATAGCCTCCACCTACTGAGAATCTATTTTCCTCCTTCGTACCAAGAGTAAAGCAAAAATGGCACAAATTTGACTGCAAAACGTTACTTCTAAGTACATAGCTATCAATACATAAAATTGACTGCACATCAGATTTATTTTGTACAATTAAATCTTTGCAGCATCAAAATATCCACCCCAACATAAAAATATCCATCCCAACATTGTGCTAAAGACAAAAACTTCTAAAACTCAAGAAGTTTTAGCCCTGGCAATTGCCACCTTTAAATGATGTCCATGTATGGCTCAGGAAAATTCCAGCTGGCCCAAGCAAGCCATGCCAGTGCCCATGCTGGAAATGATGTGGCCAAACACCTACCAGATCTCAGCCTAATGCCCAAGTTTGATTTGCTGTGTCCATACACACTCTCCACTGATAGAAACCTTAGTTCCAGGTTCTTCCTGATGCAGAAGACACCTTTGGCAGATGCCTAAAAGGCCACAGAGATCACACCAGCCTAAAGCACAAAGGGAAATGAAAAATACCCCAGAGCTGCAAATCACAACAGAAGGTAACAGTCCATGACACCTGGAAATCCCTGCACTGAGGTTTTCCCACTGTGTTCCACCATCATCAGATTTTAATAAAACAAACCCTCAAACAATCAGAGAGAGAAGACAGATCTTTACTGATGATCACTAAAGCACATGTCAGCAATTAGCTTGAGCAGATAAAATAACTGGGAAAATGTGGGCTGCATTATCTAACTAGATGGCCCTTTATTTGACAGGAATAGGAAAATATGTTAAAAACATCTGAGAGGTTTTATTCCCAATTATGTATCATATACAAAAAAATAAAGAAAAAGAGATGTATCTTCAGCCATACAAAAACACCTGAGAAATCAAGGGTTTTTTTTCCTTACTTCATGTAGTTTACCAGCCTGGAATCTGGTTTTTCCATTAGCTGAAAGTGAAGCGGCAGTGTTACAAGAAACATGAGACTACTCCTGTCTCAGTTTCCAGTTTTAATCTCAGACTATTTACAATGACCTTCTCTTTTCAATTTTGTTAGCAACTACCTAACAACACTCAACGAGGCTGGAGACAGAGAAGAAACTGCTTCTCTTCTTCTGAGCTACTACAGCCCTACATTGTGATCCAGTGTTAAAAGCAGCCAGGGGCTTTAGTTTGACTATCTTTCAGCAGCCAAAGTCCACACCATTAATGAAGCAGGAAGCAGCTCCAGAAGGTTTATGTTTGCTCTTGGGGTGAGCGGAGCTTGCACAGACTATGCCCTTCAACAGAACCCAAGGCTCCTTAGAGCTTTTTTCACCCAGCAGAGCCACTTACATGACACATTTTCTGCTACAAGAGAACTGTGTTCTCCAGATCCCAGCACAGACAGACACTTCATGCGACCACAGATGGTGTTGTGGAGAGGAGGGTGCAGTTTGCAGAGCATCAGCACAGCACTGCATTGTTTTTCTCTCTAAAGCACAGCGTACAGAACCCTCAGAGCAGGCTGGTGACCGGATTTGGCCCAGCTATAGGAACCTGCCTTCCTACATCCCTAGTAATACTAGGTTATGACAGACTTGGAAGGTAAGCTAGGCACAGGATGGCAGACACCAGGCACAAAACTGGAACTTAGAGGCTCCTTCAGCCCTAAAAAGGCAGAAAAGCCGCGCTCCAGAGAAGCATGAGACCAGAATGCAGACAAAGGTGTTCCCGAACACACCAAACCCAGCCGGAACGCTGCTGAACGCGGGCACTCCGCGTTCCCCCTCAGGGAGCTGCACACGCACCCACCATCCCTCTCCCAGCCCGCAGCGTGAAGCGAACGATTCCCCCAGGGATGCAGACGCGGGCCAGGCTGCGCTCCCCGCCAGCCGGCACCGGCGGCCGCTCCGCCGCTCCCCGCCAGCCCCGCGGGTCCCCGCACCGCGGCTGACAGCGCCAGGCCGGCCGGAGGGTGCCGCGGCGGCCCCTGAGGCGCGGGAGACCCGAGCGGGCGCGGGGCGGTGTCACCGCCGCGGGTGACAGCGCGGCCCCTCGGGGGAGGCGGTGAGGAGGGGCCGCGCCCGGGGCTTCCCGCGGCCGCGAGGCGCTGCGGCCGGGGCGCGGGACACAGGCCCTACCGGAGCCTGCGCGGCCGCGGACGACCCCCCGGCGGGCGGGGGTCGGGGCCGGGCTGTGCCCGCCGGCGCTCGGCGCTTACCGGGGCAGCCGCCGCCTCCTTCCCGCTGTTCCGCAGCCCCGGCTCCGGGGGCGCCGCGCGGGCCGGGCCGGCGGGAGCGGGGGGGGCGCGGAGGGGCGCGCGCACGGCAGGGACCCCTCCGCCCGCCTCCGCCCCGCCCCCTGGCGGCACCGCGCACGCGCCCCCCGCCAGCCCGGGGGCCGTGAGGGGAAAGGGCGGGGCCGGCGCGGGCACGGGCGGCGCGTGCGCGGGGCGGCCCCTCCCTCAGGGCGGCCTCTCCCTCAGGGCGGGGCTGGTCCGCACCTGAGCCTCGGAACCGCGGGGTAGCGGCTTCAGGTAGAGGGAAAAACTCTGAGGTCGTGGAGCCCAATCTGTGTCCCAACACATCGAGTCATCTAGAACATGGCCGTGAAGTGAGTGCCACGTTCAGACTGTCCTCAAACACCTCCCGGCACGGTGACTCCATCACCCCCCAGGGCAGCCCTTTCCGATGTCTGATTAATCCTTCTGTGGAGAAATTACTCCTTGTGTCCAACCTGAACCTCCCCTGGCGCAGCCTGAGGCCGGTTCCTCTCATCCTGTCCCTCGTTGCCGGGAGCAGACCCCGACCCCTCACGGCCTCATCTCCTGTCAGGGAGCTGTGAGGGACAGAGGGTCCCCCCTGAGCCTCCTTTTCTCCAGACCGAGCCCCCCCAGCTCCCTCATCACACTTGTGCTCCGGACCCTTCCCCAGCTCCGTTGCTGAGGGGTGGGAGGGCAGCAATGGCCCCAGCCCAGGGCCCACATCTGGGACTGGTGAAAAAATCAATTATTTTGTGGGGTTTTTGGGGCGGAGGAATAAGCATGCATATTTTAAGCTCCAGCACCAAGTGCGCACAGCGCAGGAAATGTAAGTGTGAGTGAGGGAGCTGTGGGTCTTGTAAACCTTACTGTCCAGATCTGTAATTGTAGCTTTTCATTCGAGTGAGAAGTAGATGTTTAAATGTGTGTCGTGGCTTAAATAGGCTAGCGTGTGCTTCATTGTTCAGCACAAATCCAAAATATGGCCTGTACTAGCCACCTTGAAGAAAATTAACTCTACCCCAGCCAAAACCAGCACATTGTGGTAGGAAATAGCTCTCCCTTCTTAGGTGACAAGAACTCCTGCACACAAGCTTTCAGAGTCTGAGCTCCCTTCAAACGCACTAAACTGAGCTCAGCTGTGTAGCCCATCACTGTGCAGGATGTTTGACTTGTCACGAACAGCCAGCATCTGAAGTTAATAACCCCAAATTGCAGCGTGGGTGCTTTGGTGGGAGGTATAGCAGAGTTTGTGTTTACAGACGCTGCCTGGGAAATGCTATGAACACAGTAATGAAGACAATGTGCTGATTTGACACATTCCTGTAAAAGTTTCCCTCTATTTAGGATAAAGCTTTCCCCACTCAGCTGTTTTAGCAAAAGAAACATTTCAGTGTAAGATTGAGTTGTGTGTTCTCCCCTGAGGTACATTCCTTCCTAGAATTCACAGGAATTGAATTCACAGGAATACAGAATTTGTAGGTTGCAGACTGGTAGGGCAAGTATGATTTACAGTCCCCTCACTATCTTTGGTGAAGTTAAATTTTCAATATTATAAATCAAAGTAAATTATATCTCTATTACATCAGAATTCCCTCTCAAACTAGCAGGATGTGTGCTGCCAGATATTGCAACATCATTTGATTTACATGGTGGGAACATTTTTCTGTTTGTGCGCCTTACAAAGTCAGTTTCATGAGATGCCCTTCCTTGGCCATTTCTTTGTCACTGCCTGCTCCTACCTGGTGGGGATTCCCATGCACAGAGAAGGTGCACTCGTTTGACAGTGAAATGCTCCTTTATACTTAAATAATAATGATGTTTATTTTCCTACACTATGACCAATATTATTCTGCTATAATTTCTGCTTCGTGATACCTTCAGCAAAATGTTGTCCTGTTTCCACCTTCGGGTTGGTTTTGAAGTTATCAGCTAAAAAATGGCATTTCAAAGGCACTGCTTGTGTATGAAGGATGTGAAAAGTGGCTGCATTTGTTCTGAACAATGTATTTCTCACGGTAGCCCACAAAGGGCTCTCAGCTTTCTGCTTTGCAGCAGGAAGCAGCCGCTCAGCTCAGTGAATTAATGAACGAGCTGCTCGCTGACAGTGCATATGCCCTTGGATCTTGGTTCTGGAACTTGAAAGGTCGCTGAGAAAACCGCGTTAAATGGCAGCATTGTGTGCTGTAACGTGTGTGAGAGCGGTTCAGCTGTCTGCTAGGAACGCTTTCTCTTTGTGGTTAGTTCTGGGCTGGCCTGCCCCTGAGGATTACAGAATCTCCATAACTGCAGGCTTCTAACAAAGAGCAGACAAATGTCCCGGGAGTCGGGCAGGGACGGCTGATCCTGCTCGCACCGACAGCTGGATCCCGCCGGCCCCAGGGCAGCCTGGAAAATGGAGAGACACCTGCTCAGGTGCAGCGATTTGCACAAAACATCCGTGCTTGTTACACTCACGTTCTTTCTCATCCTGCTCCAGCCTCAGGTTCCATTCACTCCCTCTCGTTCCAGGTGCTGCAGGTGTGTTGGCTGCTTTGCTCAGGCTGCACCAGGGGGCCTTCAACGGGGGAAAAGCATCCAGGAGGAGTGGCTGGGATGCTCCAGGCTGGCAGTCAGAGCAGAGCTGGACACGGTAGGAGCTGGTTGTGGGTGCAGAGTGCCCGGTGCAGGACACGATCCCTGCCAGGCTCATCCAGAGGCTGCTGTTCCATGTGACTGCACCTCAAGGGTTCACTTTCTGGGACAGGGAGAACCATTTGCCAGAAGAATTCCACATTTTTACATTATATCATCACACCACTGATGTATTAGTCAGAAGTATTAGCAACAGTCATTGAGTTTCCCCTCCTTTGCCCAGTTCAAGGTAAGCATGACACTCAGTGTAGTTTTAAACAATGCAGTCAATCATTACATTACATTTTATCTATTTCCAATGTTGCAATGGAACCCTGTCATCTTTGTGGTCCACACTTAATGAAATGGGCTAGAGAGCTTTCAAGCAGGTATCTTTTTATTGTAGAAAGGTTTATATATTATATTAAATTTGGACTATATTCAAACATAAATGTACTTTAATTACATTAATAATTTAAACAATGTTTAAATAAAGCACCAAGTTAACTTGATTTAAATAACTGATCCAGTTTCCACACTGATTCCTACAAAATCCCACTAATTTCATGCAGTGTTTGAAGAACTGGAGGCCAGAGCTGATTTCTCAGTAAACACTGACTACAGTTCAAGTGCTCTGCACACAAGGGGGAAGGTGACAAAGTCTGAGACAGGCTGGGTTTTGAAGCAGAACTCCTACAAAAGGATTCATACAGACCTGAACAGGGACTGGGTTGCTCAGCTATTTCTCTACCTTCCATTAAAATAGGTAAACTATTTCCACACATTCAAGTTGTTCCAGTTTAGTTCTCTGTACTGACCTCTACATTTCAGGTGATACAGCTTTTACCTTGTAAAACAAGATACAGCTTTTATTTTGAAACAGCAGTGTTAAATTCCATGCCCCCAGCGAACTCAGCTGAATGCAATTCACACATTCAGTGTAATATAGACCCACTTTTATCTAAATAAGACCAAACGAACCTGACAACATAGATACAGGAGATTTTATTTAACATTGTGTACAAAGAAAGGCTACAAATGCCTTAAGACGTTTTTCCCCCAAATACAGTTCTTGGATCCCTTTTTCATACCACATTTCTCAGAAAGAAAAAAAAAATCCAAAATGACAATTTTTCCCTTTCCCTTTCGGCCTGAACTGAGAGATGTTTAGCAGTATGGTTTCAACACCTTTCCATATTAAACTATTAGGATTAGGTTTTCTTTCCCCAAAACTGAGCACTATGAGATACTGAAGCACTACCAACAGCAGGATCAAATGTCAAAAACTGACTCCCTAACACGGTAGTGTTTAAAATAACGCCAACAGTATTAGCTCTGATGAAACCCAAAATTATCCAAACAATAACAAGTTGTTTGTCTTCTACATCTGATAATTTAGGACTAATTATATAATTTAATTGTATTTATATTTAAATAAATAGTCTTAACTCCTTTCCTTGGAATTCTTCATGGATTATAAACACTTATAATACTAGAGATAACAAACTACACAACTTACATAGGCAAGAGAAGGTTGAGTTGTTTTGTTTTGGTTTTTTTGCTGGACAGACACAGAAAGGACAACATTTCAGTGTCCTGCTGTGAGATCATTTTAAACTCACCATTTCATTGTGATGCTTTTCATTATCCCAACACAACAATTCCTTACCCTCTTTTTGCTACCTTGGTAATCACTCTTAGTACTCCTGAAACATTGGTCCCTGCATAGCTAAGTTTTATCCAGGGTTCTGCAAGTTTTGGATGTGACTGTGAAACCCAAGACAAGACTTCTTTTAGGCTGTAAGAAGCACTGAAGAAGGCAGGGAGTAGAAGAGGCTCTTGTGGAGAAATGACCTTTTGCTATAGCAGCTTTTACATTACCATCTACTAGATATGAGATAGGTTTTAGATATAAATTGATTTTCAGCTGTTTGTATAATCCCAAATTAGCATTGCCCCTGTTTCTCCCAAAATGGGACTAAAATAGAAGAATTTTGAGCTGCTCTAGATCAGCAGCCGATCACTTGGGTGCAGTGAGAAGGAACTCACAGCTGCCTCCTGAGCCTGGTCAAACTGGCCCAGGAGAGATGGGAGCACCCAGCAGCAGCCAGGCCCTGCTCCCTGCCGGGCTGGAGCTGCTGTGACCCTGCCTGGGGTCACTCCAGGAAGCTGCTGGAGCCTCCTTGCAGGCAGGAAGCTGTTTTGTACACAAGCCTGCCCTTTTGTACATCCACAGGGATATAAAATGCTGTGTGGTATAAATCATCCTGCAGATTAGAGAAACAGCTCATCTGCAGAATGTCTCCTCAGAACATCCTACCACAGGGGAAAAACCACAGCAGTTACACAAGCAAGAGCTCTAGCACAAAATAAAACTCTCTCTTCTGGTGAACCATTTCTGACAAGAGGATTTGAACATGACTGTGATTAAGACAAAGCAGTAGA